CCTCTTTGTAATTTTTTATTGAATTTGGATGATAATAATTGCATTACATGTAAATAAATTTTTCATATTATATAAGACAACAAAGATTTGGAACAATATTTAAATTAAATGTATACTAAGTATATAAAGAGTAACAATGGTAATATAGGAAAATATACATGTAATAGTGGATTTGTATGATATATATATTTATAAGGAAGATTCAGAATAATATTTTATATGATACATATATCATATAATAATATATGATATTTTTTAGGTAATTATTTTATGTCCTCATATGATATATATATTTTCTTTGATACTGTAGACACCCATTTGTGTCTCCCCAAAACCAAACCCAGTGATGAGTACCTTTCACGTCGAATCATAATCAGCCAATCCAGTTTGGTTGGTCCATGATATGAGTCCAATAGTGGTGTAGTTGGATGGGGCTTGCAAAGACCTTTCCAACAATATATTATAAGCCTAATTTTGATGAATATTGAGGAAGTTATGGCCAATTTACCAAACTGGGCCCGGTTTGAGCCTTATGTACGGCCCAATGATCTAGGGGAGGGCCTAATATGATTTATCATTCCTAATGCAATTAGGAATGGTTTTAGTCTTCTAGATTCTTCTAGAAGGTTCTTTTCATTCCTAATTCAATTAGCATTGATAAGTTGACTTTGTTGACTTTTCAGAGTTTTAATTAAAATCAAATAGCATTTTCGAAGAAATTATATTATTTTATCCTCCAGTACGGTAAACTTATCGGATTTTCGAAAACGCGTTGAAATCAAGCTTGGCGTCCAACCCCAGGCCTTGGCGCCTGGAACTAGGCCTGGCGCTAAGGATGGTGTCTGGCGCCAGCTAGCCAGGGTTGGCGTCAGCTCTGTTTCCTGAGCGTCAGACTCTGTTTTGTTAATTTATCTTTTTTGGCTGATTTTCTCTATAAATATCGTATTAAAAACTCCGTTTTCATTCACCAATTCTTACGATCATTCATCTACAATCAGTTTTAATTAGCATTCTTCAATCTTTCAATTCTTTCTCTTTTTCCTCTTAAACTTGGTTTTCTCATACAAAATTCCGCATTCGCAAGATCTAGAAACACCTAGCCATATTCGAAGTTGTCTTCGCCCTAGACGTGAAAGGTTTAATTTCTGAGGATTTGGTCCCAAATCTCTATTTCAACTATTTAATTTGATTGTTGTTTATTATTTTCCTTGAAGTTACTAACGTGTGTATTTTGTTATTAGAAAGAGGTACGAAGCATCAAAGTAAGTACTTTATTGATTTTAATTGATGTTATGATGTAGAAATCATGTTTATATTGTTATTATGATATTCCTAGTATCATGTCTAGGGTATTTTTAATATTAAAAATGATTGTTGCGATGCTTCCTATATTCTTCCTAATATTTATGTTTGTTAGTATCATGTTAGGGTTAAAGATTTGATTTTTAATGCTTAGTGACATGCTAGAGTTTGTTATTAATCTTGTTAGTATCATGCCTAGGATCTTGCTATTTTTATTATGCTTTAATGTTAACATGAACATGATTATAATTGTTATAATTTATGATGATTATGAATATTATTATTATTATTATTTTGATGATGATTATTTTATTTATGATGATTATTATTGTTATGATTATAATTATTGTTCATGATTATTTATTATGTTGCTTGATATTTTACATTATTCTTTATTGCTTGATCACCTTTTATGCATGTTAAAGGGAATTTGGTACTTGTAATCATGCTTGATAAGATAATTAATAATCTTGTTAGGTTAACTTTGACTATAATTCAAGTGATCGCCAATAATAGTTTATTTGTGCATTAAATTCAACCAACATAGATTAAACAGGTTTAGGGTTAATCCTATTGATTGCATGTTAATCAGAAAGCGCACATGAATATGATCAGAATAGAGTAGAGGCCTATTATTTGTACCATCATCCCCGAACCCTTATTTGGTTCATGACCTTATGGAGTTGACGATCTCTTGGATCGTTAAGGGGTGTAACCTTCACTTCGTGAATGGTTTACAAGTTCCTTAAAAACTTGTTGGCGACTCTTTTGTTCTATCTTCTTCCCTTTTGGACACCACCGTACTTTAGTGTATGATCACAATGGGGTTCAAGCTAGTGGGATTTAAAGGCTTGAAATTATTCCCTACAGATACATATATGATATTTTTTAGGTAATTATTTTATGGCCTCGTATGGTTCTTTATATAGATAAGAAGATGGGAGGAATGTCATTAACTTAGACGTTCAAATTAATACAATTTTCACTTTTAGCCTTTGTTCTTTTGAAATAGTGTACAATCATGAATTACCATCCAAATAACGAAGTTTGTGCTATTTTTATTCATGCTAATTATTTTTTCTTTAGCTAGCTCTGGGAGTGGAGCAAGATTCAAAAGCCCTATAAAACATTCAAATGAAAATCCAAAACCCAAAAGTTATTATAATAATCGCAGTTTGCCTCCACCTTCAGGACCATCAGGAAGACACCACGGTGGTGATTTTACGAAGAATGATGATGTTGCTAATCAAGTTAATCATCATAACATCTTAGCTTGATAAGTCAATTACTTTGAGCTCATTCGATGTTACTGTAATTTTCAGTTTTTTGTTCTTAAAAGTCATATGACATATGTCATATAATAAATAAAAAAGTAGTCTTACGTAATGAAATCAGAGCATTTTGTTTTATTTTTAATTTTTATTTTTTATAGGGAGTATCTTTTTATTGTCATTGTTCTTTTATTTCGTTATTACCGTCAAATGTTCAATTTTTCCTTACAAGTAGATGGAATTAAAGTGTGAAAATTAGCACATGGTAATATACATACTAATTAACTCCTAATTAAATAAGTGACTAATATTTATTAAAAATGTTAATTATTTATTAATAATTATATAGTAATTGCTTAATACTCCCAAATAATCATTATAGAATAATAAACTATAACCTATTAGATAGATAATAAATAGATAAGTATGCATTGCCAATTACTATTTTGTAATTACTAGTACTCACGATATATAGATGAATACTTACACATAATAATAATGTCCTTCAAAGTCATTTTGCATCATAACAATCAACATTCAACAATGTAACAAATAGCCATTAGGCAATTACCAAACAAGCTAGGTCTAAGGCTCGTTTAATTTCTGTTCAGTAAAAATAATTTCAGTTAATTAAAATTCTAGAAGAATTATAATAGAAAATCAGTAAAAATAATTTCAGTTCAGCAAAAATAATATCAGTAAAAATAATTTAAGTTCAGCAAATATAATTTTGTTTCAGTAAACATAATTTTGTTTCAGTAAATAATTTCAGTTTAGCAAAAATAAGGTGAAGTTAACGGGGCCTAAGTCATACATGTCGTGTTTATATTAAGATTCTATTTTTATTACTATATTTAATTTTTGTAGAGGGCTAATTAAATCAGAAAAGTGATACTCCGTAATTGATAATTTTTATTTTATAAATCAGTATCTCCATTTTTAATGACTCTTATGATACAGGAGCATTTAGGGATGAAAGGCCTTGTTCTCTTCACCTTAAAAAAAATATTAAGTAAATATAATTTCAGTTCAGTAAAAATAAGTTCAGTTCAGTAAAAATAATTTTAGTTCAGTAAAAATAAGTTCAGTTTAGTAAAATTCAGTTTTCTTGAAGAAGAATTATAATAGAATCGGTAAAAATAATTTAAGTTCAGTAAAAATAATTTCAGTTCAGTAAAATTAAGTTCAGTTCAGTAAAAATAAGTTCAGTTCAGTAAAAATAATTTTAGTTCAGTAAAAATAATTTCAGTTCAGCAAAATTAAGGTGAATCAAACAGCGCCTAAATGAGCTATACATTCGTGAATTACTTGCGAACAAGCTAGTCAAAGCTTGGTCAAAAGTCGTTTGTTAAGGTAACAAACAAGCTTGAACAAAAATCTTAAGCTCGTCAAATAAATGAACAAAGCTCGAACAACATCATGTTCGACTCGGTAACGTTCATGGACGACTTGTTTAAGTCCATTTATAAGTTATTTCACAGCCAATTAAAACTTGGAAGATTTATAAATCTTTTATACATACATATTTGTAAAAAGTATTAATTATTTCATCATGTAAAGGTATGAAAACTCCGTCGTTACTTTTTTTCAACAGAAAGAATATAAATATCTTATATAAAATTAAATGAATGTGTTAAAATTTGAAAGGAATCATATTTTTTATGATAAATTCGACTCTTTTATTTAATCAAGCCCGATTTAGACCCTTTCAAGCTCTTAAACATGAAATGCAAACGAGTATGTTCGTGAACAAAGTGTGAACAAGCCAAATTTTTAACGAGCCCAACTCAAACAAGATTTTTAAAAGCTCGTTCAAGCTCGAGATAGTTCGAACATAAATAATTTTATCAAACTTAGCTCGAACAGACTAAAAGTCGGCTCGGCCCGGATCGTTTGCAGCCCTAGGAGCATTGTAGCTTTGCCATCAAATTAACATTGGAATTTTTCACATTTTCAAAAGCTTATCAACTCCATTCTTGCAATGTTGTATTCTAGAATAACTTTTTTTTTTGACGGGAGTATTCTAGAATAAATTAATGGAGAATTAATAAAGCAAAAACTAAAGAATATTCATACAAATATGTTTTGAATCGTTTTCAAATATGTTTGTGATCAATGATCCATGCACTTTGCTCTCTTCACCATTTTATTTAAATTTTGTGAATATATATATTGTGATCCGACTGGTTTAAATAGTTTCTCGCTTCATATATACTCCCTCTAAATAATTAAATATAAATAATAATAATGAGCAATACCCAGTCAATTCCCCAGATAAATAAAATTTGTTTATCTGAGGGTATAATTGTCTTTTTAAGAATTAGTGGAGGGGTATATGTGTCTTTTCATGTACTAGTTGAGGGGCACATGTGTAATTTCCTCAATAAACAGTAAAAACAAAAGGCAAATAATAATTGGACAACTCACCAAAAATACTGAATAAATGACCCTGCTTTTTCAATATATTTACAAAAATGTCATCAGATTAACAAAAATTCGTTTATCTGACAGATTAACTTGTATTTTCCCAATAATAATAAATAAATAAATAAAAGAGCTCTATATAACTATTCCTCACTATTTCATGTACGAAAGATCTTCTGACTTGTGTAATTTTAGTTTTTTTTTTTTTTTTTGACAAGACGAACAAACAAAGAAAAAACCAAAAACAACTAAAAAGACCAAAATAAAAACTGACGACGACGACCTGGGAGGACTAACCAATGAGCAGGAGCGACCCATTGACGAGGGACCTTTCTGAGTTCGCAAGCAGAGAATCTTCGAATGAGATCTTTAATATCCTGTATCAACCAGCAGCAGGAGATATCCTTACTTCCCCTGTCTTGAAGCAAAGATAATAAAGTGAAACAGTCCGTATAAATCAACAAGCTTCTAAAACCACGATGACCAGCAGATCTAAGAGCCCATAACAATGCCTGTAACTCCGAGTGTAAAGCAGAGGAAGAAAGAAATGCTCTGGAACCCCCACCAATCACTAATTCCGAACTTGGCCTTCTAAAAACCCAACCTGCTCCTGCAGCATTATCATGACATTAAAAGCCCCATCAAAAACCAGGCAAATATCAAAGGAAGAACCCCAGAACCCTGAAGACAGCAAGAAAAACAAGAAGACTTTGTTCGAGGCTTCGCTCGAGTACTGGAGCCAATGCTGGGAACTAAAGAAGAGGATTTAAATTCCTGAGATGCTAAGCCCCTCGACGTCCAATCTTGCATTGTGAGGAGAATAAACGCTGGAGAAATCACAGCTTGTCGAAAGACCTTATGATTACGAGCTATCCAAATTGCCCATAAAAACGAAATCAAAACCATTAAAGCTTCCCAAGACTTGGATCTTCGTAAGAGTAACACCTTATCGACAAACCAAACAGAAAAAGGCTGATCACCACGAACTGTAAGGCTCTGAAGAATTGGATTGGCAGACCAAAGACTGTTGATAAAGGAACAGTCACGAAACAAATGATCAACCGTCTCCTGATTATTATGACAAAGAACACAATTTGAGTCTACCGGAATTCCACGAGCTTGAAGAGTCCCGAATAAGGGTAAAACATTATGTACGAATTTCCAACAGAAGCATTGCAATTTTGGTAAAATAGGCAGATTCCAAAACACCTTCCACCATGCAGAGGAAAAGGGGAACACCCCATCAGAAGGACTAAACTGACGAAGCATCATAGCATAGGCGGACTTGGTAGTAAAATTTCCATCCCTTGAAAATTTCCAGTACACAAAATCATCCATCGGTCTGGTCGGATGTTCCAAAGCCAAAATAAGATTTGAAGTAGAGGAATCAAAAAGCCAATGAACTAGAACCATATCCCACGCGTAAGAACGCGGATTAATAATAGAAGAAACATGAGATGGAAGAGGCATCTCACAATTGTTGCGAAAAGAGAGAGGTTCCCCTGGAACCCAAGCATCCTCAAGAACACGAACTTGAGAACCAGAACCAACCTTCCAAGCTATACCCTTTGACAAAACAGATAACCCTTGCAACAAACCACGGCAACCCCAAGAAGATCCAGAAATCGATCTAGTCTGAACAGACCTAAGAGAAGGATACTTCGCGAAAAGAAGCTTGGAAATAAGAAGTTGAGGATTGTTTTGTATACGCCAACATTCCCTAGCCAAAAGTGCAGAATTGAAGGAATCCAAACGACGAATGCCCAGACCTCCCATTCCTTTTGGGAGATGCAGAAGCGTCTTGGATCGTAAAGCAAGGCCCCGAGAATGAGGATCCGACTTCCACCAGAAACGAGCCAACAAATTATCAATCTTAGCGCAGATCGAAGAAGGAACCTTAAAAACTGACAAAATATGGTTGAAAGAGGCAACCAAAATTGAGTTAATGATAACCAACTTTGCAGCAGAAGAAAGGCGTAATGAAGCAAAACATGATAGACGTTGAACAACCTTATCTATAAGGAATCCAAAATCTGCCACTTTACTGCGACTTAACTCCACGGGCAAACCTAAGTAAGAGCCCAGAGAAGGCGTAACCTGAAGTTTTAAACTCTGAGCAAGAAAATCACGGTAATCCGTCGGAGTATTAGGACTAAACTTCACAGCAGATTTCTGTAGGTTAATCACCTAACCAGACAAAGAGCAAAATTCTGATAACAAAGTCATAAGATTGGCACAAGCATCAGGGTTAACCTCCAAAAATAATAATGAATCATCAGCGAAGAACAGATGAGAAATTGAGGGGGCTCCTCTTGAAAACTAAATTCCTTTAAAAAGCGAGGAGCGTTCCCCTCTGCGCAGCATAGCAGACAAGACTTCCATACATAGAACGAACAAATAGGAGGATAAAGGGTCGCCTTGTCGAAGACCACACTGAGGCTGAAAAGCCTTAAGAGGATTACCATTAACCAACACCTGAAAGGAAACTGTGGAAACACACTGACGAATAATTTGAATCCAATATGGGGGAAACCCATAAGCCTGAAGCAAACGAAACAGGAAATCCCAATTAACCCTGTCATAGGCTTTATTCATGTCCAGTTTAATAGCTGCGAAGAATTTCTTCTTAGCTTTTGGCTTATTCACATAGTTAAGAACCTCATGAGCGATTAACGCATTATCCGAGAGAAGACGGCCTGGAACAAAAGCGTTTTGAAAACCAGCTACCAAACTAGGTAACACTTGTCGAAGACGACCCGTGAGACACTTCGCAATACATTTGTAGATCACATTACACAAGCCTATTGGACGAAATTGAGAAACAACTTCCGGACTATCCACCTTCGGAATTAAAGCCAAGAATGTACGATTCCAGTCTTTCAACAGATAACCATGAGCAAAAAAATGTTGAACAGCTGAAACCACCGAAGAACCCACTAAATCCCACATAATCTTGAAAAAAGCAGAAGGAAACCCATCAGGACCAGGGGACTTGCTATCTTCAATACTAAAAATAGCAATCCTGATTTCCTCCGATGAAAAAGGCGTCATTAGAAAATTCTGCCGGTCAGAAGATAGAGTGGGTAATCGGACACTATCCCACCATTCTGCATCATATGACGAAGCCTGATCTGAGGTCGTATAAAGGTCCTGATAAAAGTCCAAAATCATTGAAGCAATTTGAACTGGTTCCCTATGCCAAGTTCCAATAGAATCTCGAAGGCCCAAAATCTTATTCTTCCGTTTTCGAGATTGAACTGAGGAAAAAAGAAGACGAGAATGAGAATCCCCCAGCGCATCCCATTTAAGCTTAGCCCTTTGTTGCCAAAACAAGTAAGCTGCTTGAGCTTCCGCCACTTTTTCATTCTTAGTAGAAATAAACAAACATCGATCCACTCGGGAACAGAGAGAATTTGAAGCCTGAGTAACCTCAAACACTAATTGCTTCCAATTTATACCCCATGCCTTCTTGTGAGAAATGCACCAAGCAAGAAGACGATCCCGAGAAACAGAAAGTTTATGGGACAAGGAAAACATGGGAGATCCTGGAAAGAATAAGGAGAAAACGGAAGCAATGATATTATGCACCTCTAAAGCAGATAAACACCAAAGTTCAATTCGATAAGGACGTTTGTTACTGTCCGAATCAGTAGTATCTGACAAGATAATAGCCGCGTGATCTGAGAACAAAATTGGTTGATGGATAAGATGAGTGTCAGGAAGTTGGCAAACCAAGAGGTGGAACCGTAGGCTCTATCCAAACGTTCGAAAATGGGATCAGAATCAATCCTATTATTAGTCCAGGTATACTTTGGACCTGAAAAAGGAACATCTACCAAATCTAAACCCATACGCCAATTTATGAAATCAAATTGACCAGGAATCGAGAAATTACCATCTAACTTATCCGAATAAAATTCCACCTGATTAAAATCACCAATAATCACCACATTCGAAATTGAGTCCAAGATACTACTAATTAAAAACCAGACCTCTAACCGATTAGCAACATGAGGTGAACCATACACAAACATCACATATTTTTATTTCATCTCCTTGCACCAATTTACAGAGAAAAACATTTTGAGATCTAAAAACCGGAACTAGTCCTAAAGGAGCAAACCAACATATAAACACACCACCACTAAGCCCTATAGCATCAATGCCTGTGTGACCCAAAAAAGGCAAAGAAGCTAGCTTTTGTACAACATTATCTACAGAAAGCATAGTTTCCAAAAGACACACTATATCTAAACTGTGAGAGCGGACTAGAGAGTAATATAAGGAATTTTAGGGGAGTCCGCTTGTCCCAAACCCCTACAATTCCAAAGAGCTACTTTCATCCAAAATGTGGTGACCCTTCACGGGAGGTCACCGATCCCTCAGAGGAAGCACGAGAATGAGTACTTGTATGTATGTCAAGTGTTCATGAATTAAGCAGTGATACACTGATACCACTCCTTACTTCAGCTACATTAGCTAGCTTATGCAGCAGCATCCCTTCTCCTCTGAACTAGCTGATGGCCTGATGCCATATTCTCCCAGCTCTCCAAGACACGATTTGTGTTTCGGCCATTTAGTATACACATGGCTAGATCATAGAAAATTGTAAGATCTCCTTCTAATTTATAACATCTGTTTTGGATGATCTTAAAGTAACTCAGATGAGATGGCAGGTGCAGTGGTAAAGACGATTCTTAATAATCAGGACAGTCAGTCAGGATCTCATCTAACATACAACGTACAAGCTTTTTACATTAGAGAGACATACAAGAACTAAGGAGATTCAAGTAACATAAATTCTGAATTTTATTGAGATTAAATTCAACAATAGACTTTCAAAACTATTGAGGATTGTTTAGCATATACCTAGCAGAGCATTTAGTTTACCCCATTCTATTAAGAGAAGTAGCAACAAAGAGCAAGATAAAGCATACAATTTGATCAATATATCAAAGCTCAGTTATGTATAGTTGTATACTGCATCTCGTAAGCATCTGTCAGCATGCATTTTAAAACGCCTTCTTCTCATAAGACACCAGGCCATGGACTCCACCTTCAGCTTGTGCTGCACCAGTTCGAGCCTATAAAAAGGACCATTCAAACACTTCAGATCACATAAGCATAAAGAACTTTTCAAGCACATCTCATTACAGAATTAAGGTTACACATAAGAGAAGCGGTAAATCAATAAAGACATACCTCCAGTCTTAATACTTCTGATCTCAATAGATGATGGGCAGACTGAATTGACGAGGCACCAAGATCCTGGAAACCTTGTTTAACTGCTTGCATTGCATATGGCAGAAAGTGTAGAATAGAACCCCTGTCTGCAACAGCTCCAACAACACCTTGTGCAATTTTAAGCTTAGACTTGTCCCCGAGATACCGTTGATCACTTCCTTTTGTCATTGCTTCCAAAGAACCCATGCCTCGATATTTCTTAAGACGGCGACCATCCTAACACAAATTATCATCCCAAAATTTATCAAATACTTCACTAGAGGAAACACTGCACCCCAAGCGTCTAACCACAATCATAGTACAAGAATACATGGACAATACATAAAAAGCCTCTGGTAAATAAGGAATCAATGTTTTAGCATATATTTGTAAACTAATTTACTGATATGAGGGATAATGAAGTATTTAACAGGACATACCTGCACTACATAAGCACCAGGAGCCTCAGTGCTACCAGCTAGATAGCTGCCCATCATCGCAGTAGAAGCCCCAAGAACCAGGGCCTTACCAATGTGTCCGAAGTTTGATATGCCTCCATCAGCAATGACAGGGACACCACTTTGTGAAGCAATAGAAGAAACTTTGTATACAGCAGTAGCCTAAGTATACAAGAAATATTATGTTAGTATTATAGTTTCTTGAAAGTACAAAATTAACAAGTGAAGCAACATTAAGAATTTCAAGACTCGATTTTATGTAAGCACTTAGGCTCAGACTAAAGTAATTTTACGCAAAACGAAACACTGTGTAGCTTTTATAATAAGGCAACAGAGTGCTGATACAAACAATGACTGCCTGCTGAGCTTAATCGTCATTTCTACCATGGGCCAAAATGTAACAGTGGAATATTGTTAATTGTCTTCTCTCACACAGATATGTTATAATGTTGCATCCCTATATAATGTTACATCAATTTACAAACACCACCTAAGCTATAATGTTGCATCCCTTTATACCCTGAGAAGCTGCTGATTATAGGTAATTATAAGATATAACAGGCAAATATATCCCTCCCTATTCTATATTTGATTCAAAATAAATGGATGTAATAAGCAGAAAAAAAATAGAACATTGCACACATTTAAAACATAGTTTCAAAAGGACCAAAGAGTCACCTGTCCTCTGCCCACGGCACAAACCTCCTGAGTTGTACAAATCGACCCCGATCCCATGCCAACTCTCAGCCCATCAACTCCAGCTTTGATCAAATTTTGAGCTTGGTACATAGTCACCACATTCCCTCCAACAACATCCAATCCTGGGTATGTCTTCTTTATATACTTAATCATATCCAGCTGATAAATAGAATTCCCTTGAGAACTATCCAACACCACTGCATCAACCCCACCCTTCACCAAATACTCCAACCTCTCTTTATCCGATTCTCTAGTCCCTATTGCAGCTCCCACCAAGAAATCCCCATTAGGAGTTAACGACGGCAAACCACTCATCGGATACTTCTGAAAATTCTCTATATCCTCCAATGTCATCACATCAACAACTTCCCCATCACTCTCTCTCACAGTTGGCACCAATTTAACCCCTTTATCTCCCAAAAACCCAGCAATTTGATCCAAATGATAGCTACTTGGCACTGAATAATCCAATTTCAACATATAATCACAAACCCTACCATCCTTATTCTTCAAATTCACCCAATCAGACTTCAACACATACCCCAAAACCCTCGATTTCCTGCTCCCCGTCTCAGTAACCAAAATCACAGTTCCATACCCAAAATCACTCAATTCAATCACATCAGATGGGGATTTAACCTCAAAATCAGATACAAAAGGGATACGCCGCGACTTGGCAGACTCGAGTAGAGCTAACTGCTCAGAGTGTGTGTTATTGGAATGTAAAATACCAATCCCACCAAGATAAGCCATAGCTACTGCCATGTATGACTCAGTAACAGTATCCATTGGAGATGAAACACAAGGAGTTGATAAAGAAATGTTCTTGGTAAACTTGGTATTAAGCTGAACTGATTCAGTTGCAAAATCAATATAACCGGGGAGAAAGATAATATCATCATAAGTATATGAATACCCTTGATTAAAAAGCTTTACTGCTGGGAAACCATCTTCAAGAATTAGGTTTTGGGGTGTTCCTGCCATTGCTGCTTCAATGATTCTGGGTTTAAGGTTTAGGGTTTAAGGGAAATACAATCAAAAACAATTGAAACAAATTAGCAATTAACAACATTAAAATTCACAAAATAATTAAAATTGTAACTACCCAGATGAAAAATTAAACACCCACTTGGAATTTTTAGTGTTTAAGGTTAATAAAATCAACAAGAATTGAAACAAATTAGCAAACAGCAAAATGAGAAAAGCACAAAGAAATTTAAAGTATACCTCAGATAAATGAGTTGCTGGTTTTGTCTTCGGTAGATACGGCCAATTGCCTTTTATAGAGTTGATGATGAATGTCGTTTGACCCTAGTTCTACTATGGCCATTATTTTAATTAGGTATTAAGCTGACCCGATCCGATAGCCCAATTCGAAAATAGCAAATTTGGATTGAGCTTTTACTGGGTTGACACAAACCTGACTTGAAGTTAAATGAGTTAAGTGGTTGGATCATTTATTTGTCTTTCTATCATTATTTTCCAAAAAAAAGAAGAAAAAAAAAATAGACCACTAATGGATAATGTTCTATAGCTTAATGTTATGTCTAATGACAAACTTTTAAATGAAACGGATGTTCAGTAACATCCGGTATAAAGCGACAATAAAATGTGCAAAAGTTACACTAAAACGCACAAAAGTTACCCTGACAAATATAAAAGTTATTTATGTTTCATTGATAAATTTGACAAAAGTGACACTAAATTTGACAAAAGTGACACTAAATCTGACAAAAGTGTACCCGATGTTCAGTAAATTACTGAAAACTGGGTGTATACAAAAGTTTTCCATGTCTAATTTACCTGGTAATCCTAACCCGACCGCGACCCAAAAACTGACCCAAACTAACCTGTACCTTACCTAAAGTGGAGTTGACCCAAACGTGATTGTTGACACCGAAATTTTGTTAATTTTTAGGTGTCAGATATATGTAAATAAGGTGATAATATAAAAAGATATAAGATATTTATCTTCAAGATCTCGTAGAATATTTCATAGATATCTTGTTTACTACTCTACTACACTCTCTATAAAGAAAGTCGTTTATAGGGTTTAAGAAGGCTCGGATGGAACAAGTCACAAAAATCCCATCTCCTCCCTACTACAAAACATTGTAGTTACATAGTATAGATTAAGCTAGCCGACAAGGCCCCAACTATAAACATATCAAGACTCTTACCCTTTGGAGAGAGGAATCAAGACATCTACGAGAGTTGTACCCCACAAATTATTAATAAAATCATTGTTGCCATATATCTTCTTCCTCTTTATTTATACATTGCAAGTTTGAATTTTTTTTGGTTCATAATGATCCAATACTCGAAATGACTTGACCCGAAATTGACCTGACCTAAAGTGAATAGGGTGAAATGGTGAATTTATGATTCTAGCCTTCTAGGGCTTCTTACTTAGGTAATCACTTTTGTTTTTGTTTAATTATTTTGAAATGAATAGATGATGTTGTAAGACCGTCTCTCAAGAGTTTTTGTGGAATATGTTGGTAGCCAGGGCTATAGATGGAACTGAGCTGAAGCCTCGCACGGCCCAACACGAAAAAGCACATTATGCCACGGGCACAAATAACTTTTATACCTTTCGATAAGTTTTTATTAACTTTTTTTTTTTCCCATTATACCATTTGATAATTCAAACTTTTTATTTGTATCACATTAAATTTTAGTTATACCTATTACTTAGTATAATATTATACTTGTATTGAACAAGAAAAATTTTAATAAACCATTTTCTCCATCATTTAGGTTTGTGTGATTATTTTAACCCTGAAGTACATGGGACATAACACATATAACAATGAGTAAATCAAAGCCTCACAGTATAGCATACAATAGTATAGATTTGTGTTCAAAGTCCATTGCATCCTGAGTTCCTGACTGCCTCACACAAGGTTGCGATTTCAAACCGATAACAAAGAAATGAATGCCACATATTGGCTAACTTAAACCAAGTCACTAGTTGTAGGCGAGTCTAGCGAGGTGGAGGACCGAATGGGGAAGGTCCATAAGGTCCTGGTGGTCCGCCAAAACAGTCTTGTATTAGCCAGCAGCAACACAAGCAACTCAAGCTGACAAAAAAAAAACAATTAAGGGGTGAGTTAAATTTCTAAAAAATTATTCTCCGTAATATAGAATGAATATGTACGTATGAGTTGTGCATTACAAAGTACTAGTTAACTAGTACTCCGTAGTCCGTACTAGATCATGGTAAGGTTGTCTTATATTGGCTCGAAACATCGAGCCTTATGAATAAGAGCTAGCTTGGCCAAATCAAACTAAGAGGGACAAAGATAAAAAGTGGGTTAAACACTGCTCGATAGTTAGATTAGATTGTATCTATAAGATGGCTCATGTTGGTTGAACATGCCAGATCATTAATTTTCGTTATTCATGCGCTTCTCCTATAGTTAAGCTAAAAAAATTGTTACTTTTAAATTTACGAATAGGATAATAATTATAATATGAGTATTTTTTTTTTCAAATATTTGACTTCAAGACTCAACAAAAATCAAGATTGCAAAAGAGTTGAACAAAACAGAAGAATTGAAAATTGATTCCTTAGAAAAAAAATATATACTCCCTTAATCCCATTTTATTTTATTTTATGATTTTAACAAAAAAGAAAACATTTTACCAAGAGGCTAACACATTGCAAAGACCACCAACGAATGGCACTGGTACGGGTCCTAACAAAGGAGGGCTCCATGGTCCTGGTCCCGGGCCAGGTCCTAGGCCTGGACTTGGTCCTGGTGGCCCTCCAGGTCCCATGGCTGAGTTCGAACCCTTTCACCTGGCTCACTGAAATGGAGGCACAACAAACTTGAGGATTTTTATGACTTGGTGAAAGTTGTAAATGGTATGTACATAACTTATGGATTGGTAGATTGACGTATTTATATCAAGATAATAAGATGGCTTATGTTGCAAGACCCTTAGTCACGATTTTTTACCTAACATTCTCCTCATCTACCACTCAAATCTAATGACTATTCAAACGTTAGTCCTTAGCATGTGCATACATTTTGAGTATACCTATACTTCCCTTCAAACATATTTGTATAATAGAAAGGCATACCACGACTTAGATAGGAAATCTCTGTCTAGGTTTTTTTTTAGGAAAATTTCACATTTATTACCAGGGAAAGCACCATGTTTCACATTATTTGCTACCCCTTTAAAATTTTATTTTATTTTAATACCATCGGAACACACTAACTTTCATAATCACTACCACTTAACGGAATCCGTTAGATTTTCGTTAAGTTTATTATAAAAAATTAAAAAATTAAAAAAAATTAAAATAATAAATAAATAACTATAAAATGAAAAAACCACCCAAATAACCCTAGCCCTCCCCGTCATCCACCCTTCCCCCTCCCCCTGCCGGCGGCCGGCGTCGGTGATTCGGGTCGGAATCGGACCCCTCCCCTTCCCCACCCAAAACCGACAATCCTAACCCTAATCCCCCTGCCCGAAACCACCCTAAACGATTTTTAGGGTTTCGCTTAGGGTGGTTGTTGGTGGCAGGGAAATCCTTCGTCGCGGCCAGAATAGGGAACGGGGGACGAGGAGGGGCTGGATCTGGTTTCGAGGGGAGAGGGGCTGAGATCGACGGGGGTTTCGAGGGGAGATGGGCTGGGATCGACGGGGGTTTCGAGGGGAGAGGGGCTGGGATCGACGGGGGTTTCGAGGGGAGAGGGGTTGGGATCGACGGTGGTTTCGAGGGGAGAGAGGGGCTGGGATCGGCGGGGGTAGGGGAGAGAGGGGCTGGGATCGATGGAGGTTTTCGAGGGGAGAGGGGCTGAGATTGAGGTGGGTTTCGAGGGGAGAGAGGGGCTGATCGGGTTTTCGAGGGGCTGGGAATGCGACGCCGACGCCGACAATCAGGGTGGTCGGAGTCGCGAGCAGCAGGGGATTGGGCTCAGGTGACTATGGCAGTGGCTTGGTGGCTGGGCTGGACGGTGAGTGGTGGTTGCGGCGGATTGGAAACTGGTGGGTGGGAAGGAGTGGTGGCTGGACGGTGGTTGGGTGATGGTAACGGAAATACTAACGGTGTAAGTCAAGTGGTAGTGATTATAACAGTTAGTGTGTTTGGGTGGTAGTAATATAAAATAAAAAATTAAAGGGGTAGCAAATGTGAAAAAGGGTCCTTTTGCTGGTAGCAAATGTGAAATTTTCCTTTTTTAAAAAAGCAAAATTGGCCTCAATACCTGAATTATGGCTTGGGTGCACCTAGCACCCTATACTTTGTGTAGTAGCCAAAAAAAACCATAAATTGATGACTTGGGTGCAAAGAATGCCTTTAGTAAGCTTTCCGACTAACATTCTCGTCGAGGCAGGTGAATTGAATTTTTATTTATCGATTTGCGTGCTAGAAAATGTCTCGTTAAGGTTTCATGGGTCATTTTGGCACTTAAGGATCCAAATTGAACTTGAAATAAGCAAAAAAAAAAAAAAAAAAAAAAAAAAAGGTAATGACTCAACTCGGCTTAAAAAACAATGACACGCAAATCGAGATATTTTCTAACATGTAAAGCGAGTCATTTGCGCTATTTTTTCTTAATCCGAGCTCAATTTGGACTCTTAATGATTAAATTACTATCAAAACCTTAACGGGACATTTTAGACACGCAAATCAAAAAATAAAAATTCAATTTACCAACTTTGCCGAGAATGGTGGTCGGAAAGCTCACTAAAGGTTTACTTTGCACCCAAGTCATTAGTTTATGATGTTTTAGCTATCCCGCTGGTCGAGTCTAAATCTTCCGCAAGTGTACGGGTCAATTAGTTCTAGATTTCGGATATCGCCATTTACTCTATAATGAAATTAAATTAATTGTAGGGTTGAACATATATAAAGTAGCAATGATCGAATTACCAATGGTATGTAATCTCCTCTTCCAAGGTAGAAAACGTATATTTAAATCAACATTATGTCTACTTCCGTGATCACAACAATTGAAATAAACTCAATAAGAATAGAAATTCAATAAGACCACCCCAAGTGTATAACTAGTCCTAAAATTATACTACTTGACGTTGATAATCCCACGAACTAGTATTGAAATTTCACTTCCGCTAATAATCCAATACCATAAACATACAATCAATTGGCCAGATTAAAAGTACGAATTAAAACAAGATAGTCAAATTGCAATCATATAAATAAAACCCAAACAAAGTAATTCAATTCATTGATAGAAAATAAAGGACTACATCCCTAACCTAGAACAAACGAAATTAGCTAGACATAGAAATCAAGAGGACACAACTAATTAATGAAGAGTCAATA